ACTAGTAGCGATATAGGCTTACTGCATGAGACCAAGAAATTTTTGAAGAAGAAATTCGAGATGAAAGATTTTGGAAATGCCTCTTTTGTATTGGGTATTCAGGTACTGAGAGATCGTTCTCGAGGTATCCTTGGAATATCATAAAAGAGCTATATTGATAAGGTTCTGAGTAGATTCGACATGAAAGATAGTAGAACAAGAGACATGCCCATCTTTAAAGGAGACAAGTTTAGTCTCAAACAGTGCCCCAACAATGATCTTGAAAGAAAAGTGATGCAAAAGATTCTATATGTGCCAGTGGTAGGGAGTCTAATGTACGCTCTAATTTGTACTTATCTCGACATAGCATTTACANGTTTTGGGTAGATACTTGAGTGATCCAGGCATGCAACATTGGAAAACAACCAAACGCGTGATGCATTATTTGAGGAGAACAAAAGACTGCTCACTTATTGAATATCTAGTTTAGAGGTTATCGGGTTCTTTGACTCTGATTTTGCGGATGTTAAGATAGCAGGCGCTCCACATCAGGCTATGTCTTTATGTTAGCTGGAGGAGCTATCTCATGGAAGTCTACTAAGCAGACTCTCATAGCTTCTTCGACTATGGTTGCAAAGTTCATTGCTTGTTATGAGGCATCCAACCAAGGAATATAGCTACGAAACTTTGCCACTGGATTACGAGCAGTAGATGGCATTGACAAGCCATTAAAGATTTATTGTGATAATAACTCGGCGGTGCTTTACTCCAACAACAATAGGATTTTGACAAAGTCAAAGTTTATTGATATCAAGTTTCTAGTTGTTAAGGAAAGAGTTCAAGATAGACAGATTTCCATGGAACATATAGGAACAAATTCCATGCTAGCAGACCCACTAACTAAGGGCTTAATACCTAAGGTCTTTCATGAGCACACTGCTCACATGGGCATTATTTTTGAGGATATTCTGGTCTAGTATGAGTCAATTTTGTGTTCTATATGTTTGCTTTAGACATTGAATTGTTTAGCTTTCTGCAGAATAAAGTTGATGGTTTATGATTCTATTTTTTGAGCTCACTTGTGTTTTCTATGTACAATGTTCGCATTGCATTAAGGACTTTGGAATAATCTCACTAAAGACTAAAGAAGGACCAGTTGGAAATAGGCATGTTTGAGACCACATTTCATGAAAATTTTCATGCTATTCATCCATATTTGATCTATGTCATTAAGTGTATTATATGGTGATCATCATGGTTTAATCACGACTATATTGAGATGAAAGTTGCAGTGGTTCCATTATTAATATATGAGATGGACAAGATTGTTTAAGGAGAAGTCTAAGGATAAATAGCATACAGATGCACGCCTCAGGAATTTGTGATATAATTGTTTGAGGAATAGTATGTAGCCAAGTGGGAGATTGTTGGGAAAACTCACGTTTTCTTAATCCTAGAATTGGCAACATATTTAATACAATTATATTTGCTATTTGATTTAATATAATGGGCTGAAATTAAGTGGTCTAATTTAGTATATACCCATAGACTACTCAAATCAATATGGTTTAATTGAGTAGATGCCAATGAATATTGCTCTAATTTGGCGATTATGGGAACCCTAATTAAGCAATATATAAAGATATTTTGGTTATGGTCCCCAATATACCAAATCACACAACAATTTCCCTTCTCCCCATCAAGAAGAGAAATGACTGTCCCATTGAGGAATAACGCAATTTGGTTGAGGAAGATCACAAACCACCTCCCTTGGTCGTGTTCATCAATACATTGCCATTGTAATTCCGCAATAGTAGGATTGTTCATAATGGATACATGTATATAATCTAAATCTGTGAATCCTAATATTTGGTATGATGTTGATCCTAGGATTTTAGTTGTTTTGATCTAGGATATTTACATCTAGATTTGGATATGACATGAATTTCTAACAAGAAAGCCAAGACAACCTGTAGAGAAATTGATTCTAACAAGGAAAATGGAAAAGAGAACCAATAGAAGTAGCAAACACCGCAAAATGGCTTGAATGTGTTATCGCTATCCTCAAACTAAATTTTCCTCCTCTAGGATTGATTTTATGCTTAAAATGACTCAAGGCAAATGGTTTGTAAGATTGAACAAGCCTAGAAGAATAATAAACACTTAAACACTCGTGTTTCTTCTTAGAACTTGAAGAACACTTGAAGGTTGAATATGTATAGAGACTTTGAATAACTCTTTCAATATGGAATGATTTCTTTATTTGGTGGCTCGATTGTATTTAAGAATGAAATCCATCTGCTATTTATAGATTATAATTCATACACCAAGAAAAGATCTTAATGATTCATGAAAAAATGAATTCTTTCATGAGAAGGCTAAAAGGGACCAAAATTTCAAACTTAAACGGTCAAAAAATTGGCGTGGGCAACCAATCAGTGCAAAATCGGGTTATCACCCAGGCTAAAGTGTTGCCTCAGGTGAACCAAATCAAGGTCCGGCATGTGCCCAAAATTTCAACCCCTCTATTTTTTCTTGTTTTGCTTTTGGTGTTTCCGTACTTGCTCGACACACCCATATTTATGAATGTATTATTATTCCAATACACTTATCATTATTAGTTGAACAATAAATTTCAATACAACCTATCAGGAACAATTGTACGAATACAAAAATTAATAACAAATGATCATATGTGTACATATTGTTAAAGTTTTACTTGCACAGTTATAACCGGGATATACACGGATGGAGCTAGCACTCGACTAGCACCAGTGGTTGCCCATGTTGGCTCCGTTGGCATTAATTATATATATATATATATATATAGGGTATGGCCAAAACGATAGTTAAGTTGCATCATCATATTCTTACTAATTGGGGGCGAAGTTAGTAATTAGAACGATAATGGATGCAAAAGAAACAATTCTCTCTCACACAATAGAAGTATGAAGATTGAAATCGATGGGAGCAAAGTTGGATCTTAATTTACAAATATAGTGATAAAATCCTAGATTCAATCTATCATACATGTCCAATATCATAAGTGAAAAGTATTAATACTAATTTTATTTTTGCCAAATAATTAGATTTTGATAAAGGGAAAATAAGTATATCGAAATTGGACTCTTTTTGGACGTCGTAATTAATTAGAAATCTTTGACTCAAGAAAATTTAATTTGAATAAGTTAAGCCTAAGATATTGACGTTTAAAGAAATTGTCATTTATTAGTATTTTATTTAAATTGGATTTGTGATGAGAGCCGGTCACGTGTTTTCTTTGATAAATACAATCAATCTTTTCCTTTTATTTAGTTGGTAAATAGATAAAGTTTCAACATTGTCAAGTACTATGGAATTATTTACTATTGGAGTAGGATTAATATGTGTAGTCAAACTTATCCCTAGTTACACGTGATTTACAAGTAGACCAGAAAACCCTTTAGTTATTAAACTCAACGCAGCTATAAGGAAAGATCATTTTTTTCCTTCCATTTATTGATCAGATGCTGGAAAGATTGGTAGGCCACTTACATTACTATTTCCTTGATGGGTATTCAAGTTACAACCAGATATCGGTGGCACCAGATGACCAAGAGAAAACAACCTTCACTTGTCCCTTTGGTACCTTTGTATATTGCAGGATGCCCTTCGGCATATGCAACATCCCTATCACATTTCAAAGATGCATGATGACAATTTTCTCAGACATGGTCGAGAAGTTTATAGAGATATTCATAGATGATTTCTCGATCTTTGGGTCTTCGTTTGACGAGTGTTTGGAACACTTGGATTTGGCCATACTAAGTTGCAGAAAAACTAATTTGGTATTGAATTGGGACAAGTGCCACTTCATGGTACAAGAAGGGATTATGCTAGGACATCGAGTATCAACAAAGGAAATTGAAGTGGATAAAGTAAAAATTCAGGTTGTTGAGAAGCTACTGCCACCTATCTACATCAGTTAAGGGTGTTTGTAGTTTTCTAGGACATGCTGGATTTTATAGAAGATTCATCAAGAACTTCTCAAAAAACACCAAAACACTATGCAACCTATTGATGAAGGATGTGTTGTTTGAGTTTAATGAGGAATGCTTGACAGCTTTTAACACTTTGAAGAGAAACTCACGTTAGTACTGGTAATTGTAGCACCTGATTAGGAATTGCCTTTTAAATTAATGTGTGACGTCATAAATCATACCGTGGGTGCAATATTGGGACAGGCAAGAAACCAGGTTTTTCGTGTGATTTATTATGCAAGCAGAACACTGAATGATGCCCAAATCAACTATGTAACCACTAAAAAGGAGTTATTGGCTGTAGTATATGCATTTAACAAATTCAGGTCATATCTCATAGGGTCTAAGGTCATAGTCTACACAGATCACTACGCACTAAAATATTTGATGATAAAGAATGATGCTAAGTCGAGATTAATCCGTTTGGTATTACTGCTGTAAGAATTTGATATCAAAAACTGGGACAAAAAGGACAGTGAAAGTGGGATAGCTGATCACCTATCGTGATTGGAACTTGAAGAGCCAGAAGAGTTAGTGGATATCAACAAGATTATTCCAGATGAGCATCGATATTTAGTGTAGAAGAATCACCATGGTATGCAGATATTGTTAGCTATCCGGCTAAGTCCATCCCATCGCCAGATTACTTAAGTCACCAGAGGAAAAAGTTCTTTGTCAAATTGAAATACTACTTTGGAAAGATCCTATTCTCTATAAGTAAGGAGCTGATCAGATTGTAAGAAGGTTTATACCTGAAGAAGAAGTACCTGAGATTCTTGAGCATTGCCACTCATCTGCTTATGCGAGACACTTTGGAGCTTCAAAGACTGCTGCAAAGATTTTACAGTTAGGGTTTATTGGCCTACATTGTTCAGAGACATCTTTGAGTTCGTCAAGAGATGTGATAGATATCAACACGCTATGAATATCTCTAGGAGAAATGAAATGCCACTTAACAATATATTAGAGGTTAAGATATTTGACGTTTAGGAAATTGACTTTATGGGATCTTTTCCCCCATCGTTCTCAAATCAGTATATCCTAGTGGCTGTAGACTATGTATCGAAATGGGTAGAAGTAGTTGCATTGCCAACCAACGACATAAAAGTGGTAATTGGGTTTTTAAAAAAATACATCTTCACCAGATATGGCACACCGTGGGCGATAATTAGTAATGGGGGAAAACACTTCTGCAATCACCAATTTGAGTAGTTATTGAGTAAATATGGCGTTAAACACCATGTGGCTACACCATATCATCCACAGACCAGCGGACAAGTTGAAGTGTCTAATCGGCAGTTGAAGAGAATACTTGAGGTTACAGTGAATTCATTCGAAAAGGATTGATCTAAAAAGTTAGATGATGCATTGTGGGCATATAGAACAACATTCAAGACACTGATAGGCTGTCTCCATACTGCCTAGTTTTTGGAAAAGTGTGCCACCTCCCACTAGAGATAGGACACCATGCATATTGGGCTATGAAACAATTAAACGTGAATTTGAAGACCGCCGGTGAGAAACGTTTACTGTAGCTTAATGAGTTAGATAAATTCAGGATGAAAGCATATGAAAACTCAAGGCTCTACAAAGAATGCACCAAAAGGTGGCATGACTTAAACATTCAGAGGCAAGAGTTTGAAGTGTGGCAAAAAGTTTATTATACGATTCGAGACTCAGGCTCTTCGCAGGAAAACTAAGGTCAAGGTGGTTGGGTCCTTACACTATCACAAAAGCTTTGCCATATGGAGCCAAGAAGTCAGCCATAAAACTAAGGATACTTTTATAGTTAATGGGCAAAGGCTGAAACATTATTGGGGTGGTGATTTCTCAAAGCAAAAGTCCACCATTCAACTTGGAACACCAAATTGAGGCAGACGTGGAAAAGTCGAGTTATCGACTATAAACTAGCGTTGGGTGGGAGGCAATCCACTGTATCCGTTTAATTTATTTTGCTTTGTTACAACTTTAAGGTTGCAAACCCAAGTGCAGGTTGTGACAAGTAGTAAACTCGAAAGTTCGAGGTCGAACCACAGGGAATTGAAAGAAAATAAACTATTCTATGAGTGGTAAATGGTTGGTGGAAATACGATGAAAAAGAACACTAGAGCGTTGGGGATTCACTTAGAATAAATGAGTAGAAATTGCCCTTGATCTCTAATTTAACTCATATGAAAATCAACTAAGGAGTGATCTCATATGGAAGATAAAACGTTGATTGCAAATATACTAAAAGATAGATCTTGATAATTGTTTGAGAGAATGTGTCAAAACAAGTTATTGAAATGTAGAGATTATCTAAGCATTTATTGTGCCAAAATTTGTCAACAATAAATCAAAGTCTTTAACAAACTAAAATCATTTGTAGAACATATACTTCAACCAAGTAAGAAGATGAAAATTGAAGAACAAAGTGAAAGATCAAAGATAATACTACGCATTTACCAAAGTTTCACCCCTAGCTCTAACTAATGGTTTAGAAATATATAATGAAATGTTACAAAGAAAATGAAGGAAACTAGAATATGATGAAGAGGAATGATTCTCTCAAAATCTTGGCCAATGTCTCCTTTTATAGGCAAAGGAATATCCACAAAATGCAAGTGACATTGCAACTTATTTCTGTCCAGTTTCAAGATAGCTGAAACATGCAATTTGATGCTAATTTCAGATACTTGGTACCATGAATTTGGACTTATGATCAACAGATAAATTGTTTCCACTTCCGTTTTCTTTCCATTGGTGCAAATATCAGGTCCATTGGATCTCTATAACTCCAGATATGACCAAATCAATGAGTGCTTCTTCACAGGTAGAAAAGCTGTATCTGGCAGGTAACAAGATGGATTTTTCACGGTAATTTTGGTTGCCTTAAGATGCAAATTTGACTTTTTGGTAAACATGAAAGTTGTAAATACATATCTTATCTTTCCAATCCAACTTGAATCACCTTGTTTGGATAGCTACAGATCTAGTTATGGCAATTTTACCGAGACAGCTGCATCTTTACTCATGACAGCTAATATTCTTGACTTTTCAACATTTTTTTCTCCACTTGCACCACTTGTTCTACCTTAGAAATACATCAAATAAATACTCTTTCAAAAGTAGAATACTCATGCCGACATATATTTAAATACGTATTTCGATTAATTGTACTTTTAACCATATATTTATGAAAATTGAATTTACGATAAGAGAATTGAAATTAGAGACTAACATTAGTGAATTTAAACAAATTGAATGTAAAATGCCTTGAAAATGATATATCTTTGAAGCACTTTTAGACACTAATCATACTTTTTGCATTAGCTTAGGAATTTTTAAATTTCACGTTCACATTGTTGATAGTTAGGTCAACAGTTACCCATGCATATCAAAATAGTCTAAGCACTACCCACATGAAGCCCTATGCATCAAGCATGAGTTGGGATTGATTTGAGTGTTTTGGGTGATTGGGTATGAATTTCACACATCTCGAGGCAAAAATTTGTTTTTCAAAGATTTTTCGGGGTTATGGTGTGTTTTCACTTCAAAAATTGGTTTTGCACTAAGTTATGGTCGACACATATCCCATGTTTGTTAAAATATTTTCAAAATTTTTCGGGTGTATGAGAGGCTAGGTAAAGTCACCGATCTAAAACCAAACGTTGGAGAAAATTTGAGCTAAGTCATGTTTTTGGGAATCAATTGCATTATTAAATTTTCATGTGCATACTAATTTACTAAAACCATTTGTATTTTTTCAAAAAAAAAAAAAGGCTCGATTGGTGCGGTTGCATAGACCAACCAACTTAGCGGCTGCAACAACATAGGCAGGGAATCAAGAATTCCCTACCATTCCATCTACCGACCGCAAGGACTAAGTCCATGAGGTCGCATGAAGGGTCAGTTACGGGTGTTAAAACCCATAACTTGGCCCGTCACCCACACTTCCACACTCAAGATCTACAAGCCAAGGCACACTTCCCACCCCCAAATTCATGACACTAACTTGTCCATTGCACACCGAAACCTCAACTTCAATTGGAGCCATTCATCACTAAATTCACACATTCATCCCATATCATCAATTCAAAGGTATGAATCTCGTCTCTCTTCCTTCTTTTTGCCTTGGTTCTTGGTTATTTTCGATTTACTCTTGCACTTTGTGGTAAAAGGGCATACGTAGATGTGGAATTATCGAACATATGTATGTTTGTGCATTATGGATGATTATACTTATTAAGTCATTCATAGGATGGAATTCAAGGTAGTTCATACAAAGTGTTTGTTAAAATACCTAGGTGATGAAAGTTATGGATTTTATCAAATCTTTCAATGGACATGAGTTGCAATTGAATTGGAGTGCATTTTGTGATGAAATCCCATAGGATTTGAATTGAAAACCATAATCATTCAACTTGACCACGATTTAGGCACATAATTGGCAAGTCATGGCACCCTACGTCAACCACTTGGCCCTTTCATTTACCTAACCAAATGACATCCGCTCGATTTGAAATTAGAATATGTGCTAGACCAATATGAAAGCTTCCATATGCTCGGAGGTTGCTCAGGAAAATTTCAAATTTTCTTGATGATGCCCAGGGTGAAAGTCCTCACTTGGTCATGGGTCAAAATTTCATAAAGTGAATGTTTGGGCCTAATTTTATCAGTTTTTCGTATTTTTTTAGATATTGATACTATCTTGAACTTAATTCCTTGAATATTACACACCAACATGTTATACATGCGTCTTGAGACAAGTTTGGAGGGGTTTTTGTGCTACATGTTTGATATTTACGCTTTCTTGATAATCTATTATACATCATGGTATAAATTGAAACTGGCATGTTTTTATTGGATGCTATAGAACCCCAAATAATTCTAGACACCTTAGTGGCACTAAGACATAAATATTGGATGACTAAAGTATACTTTAGATTTTTAGTCTCATTTGAGACCCATTTTCGACATAGGAAACATTCGATTTGAAAAATGATATCTAAATAAAAGTTGTAGCTCTTTGAGTTAGCTTTCCAACACACTTTGAATTACCTCAAACGGATATCGGGAGAAGAAGTTATGATAGAAACACTGAAAACTGTGCAGTGTCAACCGGACTACAACCGGTCGACCGAAACTGCCTGAAATGAAAATTCTCGTTTTTCTCTAGAATTTAAATATTTATTTTCATCAATTATTTTCTCAAAGGGCCACCCACGTTTTTGGCAATAAAAACTCCACTAAATTGAAGCATTTAACCTCAAATTTAAATGGCACCCATGTTTTCTCTCTTAAATGAAATTTGACCCTTCATTTGCTTTAAGTTATGGGATATTTACCTCTAAATAGAGACCTCATTTCATTCATTTTTCTCACACCAAAAGCAAGAGTTTTTACATACTAAAGAAAGTTTTCAAGAGAGAAAACAAGAGGGAGGAAAACTATTTTTCCTAGAAGTTTAAGAAGTGTTTTCAAGCATCAATTCTCAACGATTTTCAAACATCCAAGGAGTGCATTTCTTTCAACATCCAAGTTTCATAGAAGTTTTCAATCCAAGTTTTCAAAGTTTCAAAAGCATCGATCAAGGTAGGTAGAGGTGCAATGTGTTTAATCGTGTTATGTTATAAGTTTCGATTCATGTTAATATTTGTATGTCAAATGGTACTCCGGTACGGCATATCCCTCTATGTTAATGATTGTATGTCAAATGGTAATCCAGTACGGCATACCCCTCTATGTTGAAAAATGTTCGTATATCAAATGGTGCCCTCGGGTACGGCATACGCCTTCATGTCAAATGGTGCCTCCGGATACGGCATGTATGAAAAGTTATAAAGTTAATGTTTTGAAATGTATAGATTGATCAAGAATGCACCTATGACACCTATAGAGTTTTTCAACTCACGGGTTTAATCCCATCTCTACAGATTGAAGAATTCTATCTCGGACATGGATGGAGAAGAAGATGGAGAGTGGTGCAACTAGCCCATGGAAATCTGGTGAATAAGTGATTTGGATTTATTTTTATGAAATGTTTTTCAATATTATTTATTTAAAGTTTTGATTAACGCAGAATGCGAGAACAAGTTATGTTTTCTTCAAATAAATCACATTTGTTTGTTTTGAAAAATGATTCAGTGTTTTTGTTTAAAGAATTTGAAGTATTGTTATTTAAATTATTATCCGAAAATGTAAGCTTTCGCTAAAACCTATACACTTGTTACTAAACCACCGGTTAAGCTAAGTAAAGTAAGTAGCGTTCCGTTCCACTAGGGGTCGGGGTGCTACAACGTGGTATCAGAGCAAGGTTTAGCCGGTTCTGTAGACCAGGTATTTTTTTTTTAAAACAAAAGGAAAATGAAAAGTTTAAGGTATTCCATGGCATCGTGCATCCATCCATCAATCTCATCCTATGGCCCAGGTATGTTCATATTTAAAGTTAATGATTATGTTTATGTTATAATACTTTGATATGATTTGGAGATGTGTTATTTAAAGATATGTGATGGACATGGGCAAAAGTTAAGGGCTTTAAGGGAATTGCATGATATGAAAGTTTAAATATTTGCATATTTTCTTTAAGGAAAGAAAAACTATGATGTATGTGAAAATGTAACAGATATGGCTCGTAGAACGGCTAGGGCATATAGAGAAGCATTGAACCGTATAATTGCTATTCATTCCTATGAAAACTATGTAATTGATCCGACCCAGCCGCTTAGCGAACATGTATATGACATCTATGAGAGATGCATGACGACGGTTAATGCTGGTATGGAGATCACGCATATTGAGGCCATAAATAACCTCATACACTCCCTCCCGCCTCAATGAGGGAGATATGGGAGTCACGGTTAGGGATGAAATGTTAGAAGGCAACCCAA